GGCGCCTGGCCCTGCGATACCTGCCAGAGTGCCCCTAAGCAAGTCAACTGCACTTACCTGAAGCCTGCGCGGAGAAGGGGACCAAAGGTACGCAGATATACTGGTGAGCAGGGTGAAGAACACGCGACGGCTGGCCCTCTGATCTCTCCGCATGTCGATCCTCGTGACGAGGGGATATCCCATGTGGAAGCAGAGCGACCTGCATCGACTATCATCCCAACAGAAGACCTAGTCTCAGTTGTGCGTTCGTATCAGCAGGCTTCTTATAGCGTGTGGCCGGTTGTCGATGCTGAAGTGCTATTGGAGAAGCTTGAACATGGCACACCAGATGTGGGAACTTCGTGTCTGGCTATGGCTCTCTGTGCAGCCACCATGGCACAGCTGCAGCTTGCTCCGACAAGTATTGATAGCGCGATGATGGCAGCGGAGTGTATGAGGATGCGTGAAGCACATCTCGACTTGAGGAGCGTCTTGGTTTCCTTCTTCTTGCATGTTTATCATGCCAAGATCAATAAGAGAGACTCGGCCATGTTGTTCATACGAGAGGCTGTGTATGGAGCTAGGTTGTTGAAGCTGGATGAGGGGATGAGTGGACATGATAGTGAGCTGGATGCGAATGTTGTTGCCAATAAAGAGATCGTGTTTCTATTGCTGTGGGTTTCTGAAAGGTAGGAACTGCATCCACACTTCGATTGTAGCTCACTTTAGCTGACACGGTTCAGGGGCTATTCTTTGCATCTTGGTCTCGAACCCTCGTATACCACTCCTATTCGCCTACCAGATGAGGTGGATGTCGGCAATAATGCAGACGTGAAAGGCTTGCTGGAGCTCGGCAGACTCTTTGCCACGTTTGACAGATTTTCGTCTACGAGAAGCAACAATGCTAGAGATAAATCGGTAATGACTGCAGATAGCCTGGCAGAGACGGAGACAGTCTTGTCGATGCTTTCGTTCGGCAAAGGTGACAGACCTTCTACCCGTATTGCTGATTACTGCATCACGAAAGAATGGATGAGGACCATCATCTGGCAGGAAGCTCTGTCTCGGCATCTGCTCTCGTCGAAATCGGGTGCCCGACTGATGACGTTCAGGTTCCCGGCTGTGGTCAGCCGTGACCTCCTGATGTCGTTGCAAAGCTTTACTGAGTCTGACCTGTTGCCATTGGGACGCGACCAGGTATGTCTTCTGCAATAATCGAAGATAGCGTGCTAATCGAAGTCTGGAATAGCTGTTGAAGTGCTTCGAAATTGCCAACTCACTCGCAGATACTGTCCTGCTCACGCCATGTGTCCCGACATGCTCTGACTTTCAAATGCGGCCGCATGATTTCCTGCACGCGTTGTACCAGAAGCTGCTGCCTTTCCTGGAGCAAGATTTCATGCTCAAGTCGATACTGCATAGTAAAACGGCCGAGGCCTTGGTTAAAGCCCCTGCGCGCTTATTGAGATTGGACTATAACCCATGGTCATTCGATCACGATGGGGATTACGCTCACAGCACTGGTGAGCATGTGGACTCTCCTGAGGAGGACGCTGATTCGCACTGGATTCTTTATGGATAAAAAGTGGGTGAAATTGTCTGATCCTATCGAAGGAATATGACGAACTGCAGAACTGCTATTCTCTGAACCATACAGCACGAGTAAGCTACTGCGAAACTTGAAGAACGACTCTACCTGCAATATCTCCCTTCTCCATCTCCTCGTATACCTCAGGCAACTCCTTGAACGTGCGGACTTTGATTTCCGGTTTGACAACCCCACGCCGGACCAACTCCACTGCCTCCATGCACTCTTTCAGTGAGCCGATAAGGTTCCCGGTAACCCGGAGGCCTTTGATTACGATCGTGCAAATAGGAGTTTCCAGTACTGGACGGCCCGGCGGGATTCCAACGCAGCTTAGAGTGCCTCCAACCCGCAGCATGTCACAGGCATGGGCGAACGCTTTGGCACTTCCCGCAGTCACAACAACAGCATGCGCACCAAGACCGGTAATTTCATGGACCCGCTGCACCGGATCCGTTGAAGTGAAGTCAATGAACTCTGTAGCTCCCAATCCAAGGACAAAATCTCGCTTGTCGGCAGCGTCAACGCCGATCACCAGTGCTCCCTGTGCCTTCGCATATTGTACTGTCTGGTCAGTATGTGGTAGCCTCGCGATAATGCGCCAGACTTACCAGCCAGATGTCCAAGACCACCTCCGGCACCTACAACGACGAGCCAGTTGCCTGCCCGGATATTCGCATTGAGAACAGCCTAGGGACAGTCAGCGATTAAATTCCTTGGTTGGTTCGTGCGTAGAACTGATTCTTACCTTGTACGCTGTGACTCCAGCACACAGCACCGGCCCGATAACCTTTGGATCTATATCGTCAGGAAGGATAGTAAGATTGTCGGCATCCAAAGCGATATACTGCTGGAAGCTGCCGTCTTCGTGGTGCAGGTGGTTCGTGCCCTTGACACAGTACTGTTCCGTGCCAGCTAAGCAGAATTCACATCTCCTACAAATACGACTAGCGAAGCGAATGCCGACCAGTCCGCCGACCTTCAGGTCAGGGTCACAGTTGGGGCCCAGAGCCACAATCTGACCGACGCCTTCATGGCCTCCAACATGCGGGAGTTTGATTTTCGTGATTGGATTACCATCAGCACCAGCCGCAGTGCCGTTTTTCGTATGTAGATCTTCCCGAACATGTTAGGCATCTAGATGACTTGTATGACCGAGGTTCTAAGACTGACCACTTTGACAGACACCTGTGTAGAGCACCTTCGCTAATACCTCATTTGACCCCGGGGTAGGAACGGGATAGCCTTCACGGAATTCCACACTGCCACCCAATTCTCGAACGAGAGCCACCGTCTGAGTCTGGGGGATCTCATCCGAAGGAAGGGACATAGCACCCATGTTGAATTCTCTGAAATTCCGAGTACTAAATTTCTTCTCTGTGGGACAAGTGCTCCAACAGAAAGTGATACCTGGGGAGTAAAGCCATATAAATAGTCTAGCTTCTAGTATCCAACACATCAATCAAACAATCCTCCAAATTCACGCCCCCAAATGCAATAGTGTAGATAACTATCCCTTGATAGACCAAATTCACAACCCCCCTAACCAGGCTAATTCTCCAATTGGTCCAGACGCCCTGCAGCTGCGGGACCGAACCACGGCAGCAAGACTCGCCCTAATCTTATTTCTCCGAGCCAAACAAACGACGAACAAAGAACCCCCTCGCACGGACCATAGGTGAATGATAGCCACTTACTTCTACTCATGTCTACATGATCGTCCTACATTCACCATCGTCTAGACCCCTCGTGTCGCTGCTGAGGTGGTGTTTTTGATGTTTAACACCCCCTCACTTCGTGATAGTAGAGGTGTGACGGAATTGCATTGCATGACTCCGCAATTTCTCCGCTTGATGTGGTGAGTGTGGGTGGTAGCTCGTATCGCTATTTCTCCGAGGGGTGAAGGTGTCATGCGCTGCGTATTTGGGGATGGATGGAGAGATAAGAGGAGTGAGGTAGGAGGAATGTAAGAGATAAGGAGCCGTTGGGGAACGCGCATTTCCTGCTTATCTTAGAGGTGAAGGGAAGATGTCAAGGAGGGTTAGTATTGCTGTTAGATAGTGTAAGTCATGCTGGTGCTGCCGGATGATCGTCCAAAGTTTCCAGTTGCCATGCGTCGTTCATGATAATGATGATGATATTCTCAAGCATTAACTATTGAGGATGCAGAATATATCTGTCAGACTAATCAGTGAGAAGAGCTTGGGGGTCATTATTCTTACAGCTACAGAGTTACTAGCTTGACTTATCTTGGGTGAGCCGATAGCAGTTCTATTATAGTCAGTAAAAACCATCATCGCATTGTCCAGTCTCTGTCGAAGGTAGTTCCTGTGGCAGTCAGTCTCTATGTCTGCAGTCATCATGACTGTGGAACTGTAGTCTGGTTACTAGGAGAGATCTGCAGTCATCAACTATATATGGCAAGTCCTTCATCTCACGGACCCTAGTTGAAGACCTACTTCGCGTGGGAATTATCGAACTACTTAACAACATTTCTTTCTTGATCTGTGCAAGATGGTCAGTTATGACTCCCTTGCACATTTGACTTTTCGACTTTCTGCGGTTAGGAATGATCTAGCAGCAATAGAATTTTGCGGAGGAAGCACCTGGGGATGGGGTTCTATGTGAGAAGAAGGGAAGGGTTGGAATGTAACAGGGACTGCTATCTAGTGTTTAACTCACAGTTGAGAAGAACATCCTAGAACTGTCATTCTCATAACTGAACACCTGGGTATGTGCTACTAGATAGCTAAATATTATGAGCATGTTCTCCCTAAGCGCACAAGATTGATTATTTAGCCGCATAGATAATCGACAAATAGTATTGAGCGAACGATCTCTGCGTCCTTTCATCCCAGGTCAAGTGACTTAGGTTACATTATTACATAGTAAGACGCTAATATAACATAGGGTTTTATAGGTCCAACGGTAGGAGATGTGTCACTTACGGGTAAGAAGCAACTTCCGCGAAAGCCAAATTGAAAAGATGGATTGATAACAAACAAACTCCAGCTCCGGTACCAAATTGAGGCCACAAATACAGGCCCCAGGCGTAGAGGATCTAATGATAAGCACAAAGGGTAACAACTACCCACCCATATGATGTGATTGCAGTATTGCGGACGGAAGGGACGAGGATGAGTGGTAGAGCAAGGCTGCTCTTACCTTTTCCATATGCCAGTATCTCACAATATCTCTGGAGAATATGGCCTTGTTTTGGTGCACATGAAGCACCACGTCTGTCGTTCTCGTTTACCAGTACCAATTACAGTAATAACCGTTACGATCGACCGCATATTTAGGTAAGGACAATGTCAACTATCTTCTCCGACTAGTTATGAGATATTTGGATTCTCACAATGAAGATAGATCACTCACTACTATCAACTTTGTCGACTGCCATCTTTCATTCAGTGCTAGGCCCCCCACTTTCATAATGACGATGCAAATGATTCCTCCAATTTTCCGACAAGAGTTTATCAAGACGACACTTCGAGAACCAGAGCTCGGCAAAGTGGATACGTGGGCGGACCTGAGACGACTGGACACTATACCCTCTGAACTGTACTTCCGAATTATGTGCTGCCTTGATGTGCCGACCCATAAGACACTCCAGCTTGCGTCAAAAGGGATACGCAACAGGACTCAAGAGGCCCTGTTGAAAGCGAAATGGATCGAAATCAGAGTTACCAATGACATGACAGGGTTCTATAATCTATTGGAGGTGGCATAAGATAAGAGTATTTGCTCGTACCCCGAGACTCTCTGGTTTGAGCCCAGAAGGCTCCCAAACGGGGGGCAGATGGCGTCCACTATTCCTCCTTGGCTAAATACTTCTATAATTGACTCGTTCCCGGCGACCAGCCAGATTTCCGACGCTGTGAAGAAGATGTCGAATATCAAGACCATAGTTATCGACTATTGTCGGTCCCCACGAAGTGCGAATGGCACCAGCGGCAAGTTTCTACAAATCATTTTCTCGGCTCTTACGGATGCCGGGACTCAGCCTGAGTATCTATATCTGTTCACGAAGGATTCAATTCAACCCAATACAGAGTTACTGACGGTTGTACCATGTGAATACTACACTCCCCCCAGCAATGTTAGTACTGTATGGTATAAGCTGGTCTTCTTGACGGTGGGTGAGCCCTCTGATGAGCCATGCAGAGAATATATTGCCCAAATGTTCACCTCGTTGTTTTTAAACGCTTGGAAGCTAAAGTATCTGCTGTGGCATGGCTCCCCGGTACATCCTATGTGCCATTGGTGGAGAAGGCTAATGAAACTGGCTATCGATCCCTTTGACGGGGCAGACTCCAAGCATGAGACCGGCGTGGATCTCTGGAGATTGTCGATCGAATATGTGGACATCAGCACTGAAGACCTCATTCGATTTCTCGAGCTGCATGGAAAACACCTAACGATACTCGTCCTTTATCGGGTTTATGACCCTGAAGGGGGCTGGCTTAAAGTCCTCAAACTGCTCAAAGATAAAGAAATCTGTCCCAAGCTGCAGCGCGTGAGGCTTGTCGTCGGACGTATCCTGGTGAATACTCAGCAACTCCAAATGAATTCAGATAAGCTGGAATATGATACGGACAACCCCGAGTTGAATGATATAGATCAGGCAATCGCTCGGTGCGAGGAAATGGGGTACTAGGTGGTCATTCACCCTCCTTGTCGTATCTGCGTTTCTGCGAAGTTATTGTTTTCTTGTTCACGGACTGAACAGTTCTCTCCCAACAGAAAAGGGAACATTAGGATAGAATAGCTTAGCTTGAATCACAACATCTTTACTTTGGCTGAATGTTCCTGATAGTCCCGTAGAAGTCGGGGATGACGCCTCTACTGCAAAGACCTTTTGATTTCAGGTGCTGATATGTTGTTGATTCGGATATGAAGAGGTTGACTTCGCGGTTTGGCGGGTCGAATACGGAGGGGTCGCGCTCGTGGTACTGATGTTATGTTTGACAAGAGTGAATGTGGATGCGAGCGCCCCTTTGAAGGGTGGAGGTCATCTAGGATGAGGGTGTCCGCCTCTTGGCGCTTGTGCACTGCGGCTATCTCAACCAACCGTCGGGCAGAAGCCATAACTTTCAGTACAATGCTGCAGCAAGGAAGTTGACCTGGTCATGCATCTATTTTCACTAGTCCATCAATCGAATACAAAGACCTTCATTATAAGACTCATGTACATACACCCGAACAAACTCATGAACAACACTGCGATCCCTGCACACCCAACCGACAAAAGCACGAAGACTTAATATCCACATCAGCCACACTCAAAGCAACATCCAGCTGCTGCTTAATGATAAGCGCCTCTGCTCCACGTCCCAACCTCACCAAACACTCATGATACCCATGCAGCGCCCACACATTATTCGGGTGCTGATGCGCCCGAGTAATTTCCGCATCTAGACCCAAATCCTCCGCATACGCCTTCGCAGCCTCCTCCACATGACCCTGCTCCAGCGACAAGGCCGCATACGCATGTCGCGTAGGCAACATCCAGCCCCACGGTTCAGTATACATCAGTTCATCGTCATAACGAATTGCCTCCCGGAGGCTGTCAAAACCCCGCTCAAAATTCCCACGACGGTACTCAATCTCACCGTCTAGCATGGCCGTCGCAACCTTCAGAATATCAATGATGAGATTCGGGTAGTCTTTCCGGCTGGGGGGGACGCGTTTAGCAGCCGCTTCGTAGAGGGTGCGCTCTTGCAGAGCTTCGGGAATGTTGTTTGTCGCTGCTAACGCAATTGCCTTGCCGTAGTGCATCATGGCTGTGGTGACGCAGTAGAGGTCTTGATCTTCAGGGATTGGAAGTGCTTTGAGCTCTTCCCAGAGTCCGAAGCGGACGTAGACGTGAACGCGCACTGATTTGAAAAACTCGAGCCAGTCTGCTAGCGGTGGGGAGTCGACCCGGAGGACGTCATCTGTGATTGAGGCTTCCATCTGGTCTATGGCTTTCAGCGCGATTTTGGACTGACCGGAGAGCATCGCCGCGTAGACGAGTGAGTGGTAATTGTGTAGACGGTAGAAGCTGTACATGTTCTTTGCACCTTCGCGGGCGAGGAATTTCTCGTCTGCTTGGACTGCCGCGGTATTCGAGTCGACTGAGCGACGGTAATCTCCAACCAGAACATCGAGATGAGTAGGCATGTGGTGCAGGTGCCCAGCGTCAGGGACGAGATGGCGTAGAGCGTCTGCTGGCGGGAGCGCAACGGCAGGAGTGGCGGACATTTCCCAGAAATGTATACAGAAATGAAGCAGACCCGGATGGGTATCTGCGCCGGGAAGGGACAAGCCATCTTTGAAGAGCTTCTGCACGTCGTAGACGGGAGATGTCTCGATGGGGAGGCCAGTCTTGATGTGGAACATCTTGCGCTGCGCTGTATGCATCTTTGCGTCTACGTAGAGAGCCATGACGTCGAGGTCAGTGGGGAACTGGTCATATACTTTCTTCATTGCTGCGTCGTAGGCGTGGTTGATCTGGTCGTAGTCTTCGGCGGGATGGTCGACGGGGAAGCGAGTTTGCATGGCTTCGATGAGTGCGCGCTCGACGGGAGTAACGGGAGCTGTTTGGCAGAGCTCTTGAGCCTTTCGTGCAGCTTCGTGGCATAGCTTCATGCTTTGTCTGAGGTCAACCGGATCGAACAGACGCCAGGCTTTGTTATAGTTAGGCCCTGACGCGTAGGCCAAGCCCCAGTAGGCAATGGCACAGTTGCGGTCGTGGGCTATGGCCTGCTCAAAGCATCTGTTACCTTCAGCATGGTTGAAGGCGTAGCACCAAATGAGGCCGCGGTCAAACCAGATCTGCGCATCTTGGCTTGTAGTGCTGATGGGTCGAGTATATGTGCCAAGGTTGTAGTAGTCGTCTGTGGCTGGACGTGGGATCACAGAGTCGGGCACTAGGGACATTTTGAAATGGTCTGACCTAAAACCTGTCTCAATGGTACAAATTCGAGTCTCCAGGCAGTATAATTTCTGAATCATGGCAATGCTGGGTTTTCGGCCAAAAAGATTGAACAATATATACTGTTGTATGATGATCACGTGAGGCGCTCGTTGCTCCACTGGGATGCTTAGTCTCCGGTATCAGACGCCGGATTTCAAACGCCGATTGGCCTACAGCTGCCCTATCGGTCATTCGACTGGAATTGCCATGTTCATTGCGTGATAATGTCTTGACAATAGGAAATTTGAAAAGAATCAAAACATCCTAGTAGGCGAATTTAGTTCTCCACTAAGCACATGGATAATATACCGGGACAGATACGTTGGCGAGGCCAACGTCGGTTCTCTGTAATTTTGGACATAATTCTGTTGCTCCCTTTGGAATGCATTTTGCTCATCGAGACCTTGGAAGTTTTACTAGTAGTCAAGATAAATACCAAGTACATCTGAGCACGGTGTACTACTTACTGCAACGTACAAGAATGCGAAGAACATGCATGTGTTTGTTCGCCTGTGTCAGAGCGAGTCTACAATGTCTCTATCTACTAATACTCAGATCGATCTGTCATGGAGCTTATATACTACCCTATTTGTAGGGGCAGAACAAGCGACTGCGGAAGATTCAAAAGCCGGATGAACGTCCCACCAATATGATTTCAGTTTCAAAGGCCGGAGCCCCTGCCGGGGAGCTAAGCATTCTTGACACCCAAATAGCACTGTTCTCTCTTGGCGCTGAGTCGGAACACATTGACATGGAAATTGGAAATCTTCATGATTAGGTTTCCAGCATACTTTATAATCTTAGAAGTTAGATTCATGCTTCGCTCGCCAAGCTCATTGGAAGGGATTGTACGGAAGATCAGTCGTAGCCTCCGCGGCGGAGAATTGTGCTTGACTCAAGTCGAACTGCATGGAACCTAAATCATCATGCATCGCCAGATCGGCCGAAGGGTCAGGATTGTTCAAGGGCGGCCCAGTAAAAGAAGCCCAGAACCAAGGTGTCGAGGTTCCCTCAGGGTCCAAGGTGTACACAGAACTGGGATCGCTAGGAGGTGCAGCGGGAGTAGGCCAGGCCGAGAGACAATTATCACAGCGGATGTTGGCGGTCATAATGCCGTTGTCAATTCCCGAGCTGGCGAGGAGAGTAACATTTGCAAGAGGGTTGTATTGAGGTTCACTCTTGCCACCGTCCAAGCTGGAACGCGGTGACAGTGTCACTTCCGTGGAAGAGGCGGCCCAGAGAATAAAGAGGTTCGCAGAGGCCATTTGAGCGCCTTCACCTAAGGAGACCCATTGTAGAGTTGTGGGGGCAGATATTTGTAGGTAGATGGGACCGGAGCCAGCGGCGGTGGTGGTATTGGGGATGGTGATGCTATAGGACAGTCCCGGTTCGGTTGGAGGGGAGTAGGTGACGATATCTGCGGTGGCTAGGACTGCGTGATTATTAGTTCTGGAGTAATTAGGATTACTTGAGGCCTTCGTACCTGAGCCTAGGGCCACAGCCGGGAGGAGACGGGAGAAGTGCATTTTAAATGTGGGTTCTGAGGCTTAGGTTCGAAAGGGAAGAACCTTGGATCCAACGCGATTATATAGGTATGAACTATGTGGCTGGCTGGATCCACAGCATTTAAGGACCAAGATACGGTATGTCTTAGAGTAGATTCGTGGGACATCTAAGCTAAAGATCTCATAGCGCTGGCTCTCACAAGGAGCGCATTCCTCGGGAAATCTGGCCCCTTGCATCTCGCCCGACCGAAAGATTACCGCGAACGCAGGAAAACTCGGACGCAGAAGAATTCATCATGGTAGAGAATGATCAAGACAAATAAGAAGGCACAAAGCCTTACACATGGTAAACTGACGACGAGATAAGGGCAAAAATTGTATCATGTGCTGTTCTGACTCTGACTGCCATTTTGACCATTCAAAATCAATACTCTCTTTTATTTTTGGTTACCTTTTATATCGTGATAGTAAAATCTGCGCGCATTCCGAGCGTTACTTTGCTTCTAGTCTTCACTGGCTGCATTAGAGAATAGTATGGTTGCTGAAAAAAAAAAAAGAACCTATAAGATCGATCGTAGGGTTTCAAATCGCCAAAACCTACTACATGTAATGTAGACACGAAAGATAGTACCGGCATCACACCGGACAGGATGAACTTCGAAGGGATCGATTACAAGCTCTTTGAGCCTCATTTTTTCCAATTTTGTTTTCTTTCAATTTATCTCCCTAGGCTAGTCAGGCAACCGGGTTGTGCCAGCTGGACAAGAGATGTACGGTGAGTGAGATTGACTTCCCAAAAACGAGGGAGGGTCCAAGTAAGATGAGAGCCAAGATACTTGAGAAAGTGGCTCATATAAGATGGTAAGATCCTTCAAGAGGGTCTGAGGCACTGTAGCTGTTCATTTGCTGGCAGTGTTGAGGGATTAACTAGTGCGTGGCAGGGAAATAAGCGCTAAGCCCTCCGGCTAAGGAGGGCTCTGCAAGGCTGTCCCATATAATACTCTCACTCCCCGCAGATTATTATGGAGGTACAACAACGACCCCATCCTGTGGTCTGAGAAGACGAAGGAAAATAGGGCTCGATCATGGTCTCCCGCCCTCCAAGTCCAGTCCGTCCATCGGAAGAAACTAACGGGTCTCTGGAGCGCTGCCTTCGTGGACCAGAATCCGATGGCGAACATTCCCGCTCTGACTCAAGAGAAACATATCCTAGCCAGAGCAACCCAATCACCGACTATGGGCTGTCCAATACATATTTGCTTCGTGAAGTTGAGGGTCCCCCAGAGATTCATGGGTCGGCTATGAAGAAGAGTAAAGCCCCTACCGGCTTGTTATCCTGGGGATGGGAAATTGGTGCATCCGTATTGAGCGTTGCATGTGTGGTCATTCTGATCGTGCTGCTAAACCACCTGGATGGGATGCCCTATGCCGACTGGACATACAGAGTCTCTCCAAATGCAGTGGTCGCGGTGATAGCAACCGCCAATAGAGCTACACTGCTATTCCCGGTCGGAGTTTGTCTCAGTCAACTCAAATGGAATCATTATCGCAGCCAAAGACGGCTATACGATCTATACGCTCTTGATCAGGCCAGCCAAGGCATCTGGGGTTCTTTGCAACTGATTACTACTAACCGCCCCAGCCTGGCTACTCTCGGTGTAGTTATCTTGATTCTGTCGGCTGCACTTGATTTCTTGACCCAGCAGATTCTCACCTTTCCTTCTTGTATTGTTCCCGCTTTAAATGAAACGGCTTTTCTACAGACTGCCCAGGCCTACGTACCCGGCAATGCAAATAGTGATAATACTATGAGTCTGCTTATCCTCCAAAGCATCTATGGGTCAGACAATACCCAGGAGCCAACCTGCAGTATAGGTTTATGCAAGTATCCTACTTTTGACACCCTGGGGGCATGCAGCAGATGTCAGGATGTTATCTCGCAATTACTGCAGAGTTGCACGGCTCTCTCCTTAAACAGCTCGTATGCGAGTTTTCTCAATGGTACGGCATATCAAGGGGCCAAACCAAATTGCACATATACCATGCCGGGAGACTTACGGATAACGCCGGATATTTTTAGAGCGGCCACTGTAGACATTGGATCTGGAAACGCAGTTGAACTCGGGAAGGAAACCTGGACTTTCGCCAATACAGACACAGATTGTCTAAACCTCAGCAGTTCCCAAGGGCCCCGGGTCGCTGGGATCTTGAATCCGATTGTTGGCCTGGCAGCGGCGATATACGACAATCCAAACATATTATATACTGCCGGAAACCTCACTGTGCTGGAACCAAAGCCATAAATCACTGAATGCGCCCTGTATTTCTGCGCCTAGAGATACACAAACAACAGTTATACCTCTGATCACCAGTCACTTGAAGCATCTGAGACGGAGCAGCTCTTTATGAAAAACAGATACTTCCAAATGTTCTACCCCAATGAGCTGGCTCCACTGAACAGCTCAACCCCAAGTTTCGCAATCAATGGTAACTATACCATCGCAGGAAATACCGTGCTACAGATCCTCAACTCTTTCACATCTACTATATTCCTCTCAGACCAAATCGAAGCTGGGTGGACGTATTCCGTGCAGGAGGGGAAAGACGCCAGCCCCGTTATGAAGAACGTTGCTGTCGGCATTACAAAGGGAATTCGTGCCGGGCCGAATAGCACCACGATTACCGGGGAGGCATTTACCACGCAGACATATATATCTGTGCGCTGGTATTGGGCTGCGGCTCCGATCATGATCACGATCTTGTTGATCTTGTTCTTGATATTGATTGTGGCTCATACTGCGAGGGCTAAAGGAGTGGGAATGTGGAAGTCATCGGCGCTGGCGCTGTTGGCTTGTCGGGTGACGCAGGGGCCTGAGCATCCGGACCTGCAGACACTTGGAGAAGCTGAGGTGGAAAAGGTCTCAAAGAGTATGCTTGTATCGTGGGATAGGGAGGGCGAGCCGTTGACTTTGAGGGTTGATGGGATTAAGAAGAGATAAGGTTAGCATATAGTTATAGTAATCAGCAGATGTATGAATGTTTTGGATTAGCACCTCACATCTCACATAGTAATTATTGGAGTAGTAAGAAAAAGATATGCTGTTGAAGTAGGGCTAATGAGACATATAGTCAGTATATACACATACCAAGCACACTACTTGTTATTAATTTAGTTGATAGTCTTACAGCACTTTACCTCCGAAACAGTCTACATGACCACTACTGCTATCGTCTACCGTATTGCCAAATGATAATCCAAGAATCTGGTTCCTAGGCATTATAACAATTTAGTACCCTAGCCTAAAATCAAAACCATTCTCAAGCACACATGCAAGCTATACGTTCCCCCCAAATCATCCCATTTATACCATCATCAGAAACCAAGATTGTGTCTCACACGACGATCAATAGTTCCCCTCAACATGGTAGCTTGGACTGCAAGATCCTCTCGATCCTCAGTGTCAGTTCCTGGCCCCTTCCAAACAAAGGTGAGAGCATTTTGAGCATCCCTCACTTCCTGTTCTGGAATTCTCTGATTTCGCCCAAGTAAGTCAATAAGCATCTTGAACCATTGCCTATTCTGCTGATAAAAATGTCTGTCGATATAAAAATATCTATCAAGGTCATTATCAACAATGAGATCACAAAGACCCCCGACAGTATATTCCACTTCATGGAGGCGCACGCGCTTCATGATATTCTTCTCGTCGGCATAAGCGGGGCCGCGGGGCTCGTCAGTGATTGTGACATGCATGTGGCAGGGACTGCTGTTTCCGAGGGGTGAAAGGTCAAGAATGAGACTGATAGCGCCGGTGTTGGTGTCCGGGTCATTTTTGGTTTGGATCTTGAGTGTCCAGATGTTGGTGAGGAGCTGGAGGTTGGTGCCGCTAATGTAATCTTGCGTTCCTTCGGGTTTAGTTCCACAGAGCTCCAGGTATTCGATTTTGAGGTGGCTGGTCGAGTGCAGGAGGGTGCTGGGGACAAAACTGATTTCGGGGATAATTAGAGGCATGGTGATGAATGTATGTCTTGGGCGTTGTTGGAATGGTGGATGAGAGGATCGTTTGGCTGTAGTCGTTGAGAAAGATGAGAGCGAACGAACTGTTCCAATTCCCAAAGTGCAGGGTGAAGAGGGGCTTCTTATATCTTTTTAAGTAATGATATCGCCTTCTGATAAGTTATGTAGGTAGCACTTGTTTGGCAATATATCAATTTGATGTGGCAGTTTCCGCAAAATTCGTCTCAGTACAGGCAGGTAAACCTGAATTATGCCTGGAAATTTCCTGTCGGATAGCGGATTATGTTTGAGGAATTGCCTGATTTGCAAAGCCTTAGAATTAGGAAAGTGCCAACTTGGGTTGAATATTCATACTTTCAAAAGTAGGTCATACTGGGTGACCTCTGTTTCTTTCGGCTATCTGCCACAGACTGAGAAAGGTGCTCCAATGACGGGAATTTACTCACGGAAGGATTCTCAACTTCTCAATGGAGGTCTAACCGTTTTCTCAAATGTCCTGGAACTTCATAATAGAGATAATGGCGGAAAGAAGATCATATTGGGATTGTTCAGCCGGTTGCTGCGGCTATTAGTCCCAAACCATTGTTCATGGTCTGCTTAGTGAGAACTATTGACCAAGTTTCTTGGAGGGCCAAGGTGAAAATACAATTGGCTTTGATAGTAAGAAGCTTCTTTGGTTTTGAATACCAATGTTATACATTATGCCATTTTTATCTCACCCTGTTGATGTTGATTGATGTTGAGAGGAAGGTGTAGCAAGTGCTGACTGCCGCATAACGGGTCATTCTATGGGCGTAAGCTGCAAGTTGAGAATGTTACTTGTTCATTGGTATTACCAAGATTGTTCCTAAGATATGTTGTCTGCTTACTGGCAATGCGGTGATCTACCGTTGGAAGACCAGATGTTGACTGGAGTGGAAAGCGGTGGAAGTCTTATGATCTAGGAGCTTTCGGAGATTACAATGATGAAAACGGTACGTATAGTTCATGGGCTCGACTGAAAACAGAAGAAAACTACACATCATACTGAAGTGTGCTATTTGGACTCGGCTATCGCCTAGCTTTAACTCGTCGCCAGCTGCCCAACTAGGTGATTCTGCCTATTCGATTTTCGTGAGACACATGCAACGTGATGCAGAGTCTATTCTCCCGTAATAGTTATGATATCTATTTAGAAGTTTAACTATCGTCGACAAAGATAAAAACTCAAAAACATACAACAGAAGGGATTCGCTGGTGGTCACCCACCCAACTACTAACCTCCCGGCGTGTGGCTTGAGTACGGCTGAGCGGACGGGAAGCCCTATTTTCCACACCCTGTGGTCGTATGTGCTTATCTTCTACTAAAGCAAAACTAAAAGGGCAACTTCAAAGAGGGCTTTTTATTTCTTTATTTATTTATTTATTTTTTTTTTATTTTATCACTTTTTTTTCTATCAATGTTGATGTGCTCTGGTTCCACAGCGTAAATGGCATTGACCTTGTTGATACTAACAGTCAAGCTGTATGGGAAAACTTTGCGCACGACAGCAGCTGGCATGTCCCGCAGATTTTACGGTCATAGAATCGGTAAACCTTCTGACAATTGTTCACCGGGCTCATTTATTTCGCCATTCAAGGCAGTTTCCCTTTTAGAAAGCATCTTGATCTCTGGACAACCGAGGCATTTTAATATTCGTTCTGACTGCGACTCGGTTCTGGCGATTTCCAAGCAATAACGTGAACATCCATAGCAATGGGAAAGGGGTCATTGATGATGAATAATTCTTCTTCTATCATTAAGCTAATTGTGATCAGCTTATTGATCATAATGTCCTACTCTAGGAACCGGTTAATTCTGGTGGAGCGATTGCTTAAGATTCCAGTGTCATCCTCCCTGCCTTCTGGGCACGAACGGACTGCATCATGCCACCATTTCTGAGCTCACGATGCTCAACTCTCTAGATTGTTTCAATCTCACTGTGAATGTCATGGACACCTCATTATAGTACGACAATGCTGGCGGAAAGTGGACATTCTGGTGCACCTGCCAACGTACGACCTTTTATATCATCAGTGGTCTTCATCTGCTAGAGTCTATTGCTAACCGATCCTCACACGTACTGTAACTAGAACACGGATGGCTAGGACATACACCGTAGGTCGAACGTGATGATCCAAAACTCAAGGATGGCCGAGAACTAGCAGTAAGCTATGCCACCCCTTAACCGTCTTCTCTACAACGTCACCCACCCGTTTGCCAAATTGAGTGTAAAACATGTGACAGGGGCCCTAAGAGCTGACACCCTCGGCCTGAGCTCGTAGAGTGCTTTATTCCGGATCTTCGTAGATTGGTTATAAGCAAGGGATCGAGCAACTCGGAAATTTTCCAGTTTTTGCGTGTAATTTCACCGACTGGGTCCGAGTATTTCCCGCGATGCAGCTACCATAAATAGGATCGTTAGTATGAGAAGGATCGGTAGTAGAGATACCTGAGTCATTGAGCGGTTTGGTTGTACCGCATCCATAACCTGGATACGCATCCTTGCAATGAAATGTGAACATAAGGAATTCTGAAATGAAGGAGCTGTATGTAGAGTTGTGACATATATGCATGGTCTGTTTGTTCTGAGCCATGACGGGTTACATCCCGTTCGGCTGTTGAGCGGAAAGCCGCGTGGATGTCTCGGGAGGGTGGGTCAGGGTTCTCCAGGAATTCACTTCTTCAAGTTAGTTCTCACAGGGTCTTGCAGACCCACTCCAAATTAGTTGGCTATGGCGTCAGTGTCAACCAAACAAGCCAGCAAATTCTCATGAACCAAAGTCACCGTCTAAGATATACGTTCAGGTTGTTTAAAAGTGTTATAATTCAAGGTTGTTTTGGCAGCTTGCTCAAGGGAAACAACCGACACAAACCAATGAATGTGTACGATGAGTCTTCAGTGTCTGACTTACCAGAGAATATGGCGAAAGCCTGTGATCCTTTTCAAGTATCTTAAAAAGGGACACTGCATTGAGTCCTTGTAATGGTATGAGACAAACTCCATTTAGAGGATTGTGTGATATGGACAACATATCCCTGAATCAACCGTCACTGCAGGCCTTTCCTACTTGTGCATTCAGTTGCATTACAGTGGGGCAGAGTAGTTCTTGGCTGGAGGAACTATGATCACTTTGTAACAACAGTGGCCCCTATAGCTACTGGGGTTCTTTTCTTCGGCAAAACTCAGTCCTTGGCTATAATATATTGCTAGGTGACCTGAAGTACATAAGGATGAAAGGTTGGACGTCTGGACAATACTCCAGTCTGTCAAACCAATCTCTACTTTTTCACTTCCTATTCACCATGAAGGTCTCATTCCTACATCTTCTCTGTCTTAATGCCGCCTTGGCCAGCGCCAGTGTCATCAAAGGTGCCGCACAGGGTTTCGCAGCCGGCGTGACTGGCGGTGGCGATACAACCCCCAGCTACCCTAAAACCAACGAGGAGCTGGTCTCCCTACTTGAGAGCGACGAACCTCAAGTCGTCGTTCTCACCAAGACCTTCGACTTCATCGGAACCGAGGGAACCACGACCGAAGATGGATGCGCGCCTTGGGGTACAGGGAAGGCCTGCCAGTTGGCCATCAACTCCAATGGATGGTGTGGTAAAAATCCCGCCGTAACCGTCACGTACGACAAAGCTGCCAAGAATGGCATTCATATCAAGTCCAACAAGACTCTTGTTGGTGAGGGAGATAAAGGCGTGCTCAGTGGAAAGGGGCTCTACTTTGAGGGTGGTGTTTCCAATATCATTGTTCAGAACATTAAGATTACGGATCTCAATCCTGGGTATGTATCATCCCAAGACTACAAGCTGTCGCGTGCTTTATAACACATCAATTTTTCTAATGTATTTGAATACAGCTTTGTCTGGGGTGGCGACGCTTTTACTTTCTTCGGCGCTGACCTGATCTGGATCGACCACTGCGAGGTAAGACAGGCATCCCCATTTCCTGATAGTTATAGACGAGTTCCTAATATTAGCTGACGGATTAGACTTCTCTCATCGGACGCCAACACTACGTTACCGGCTTCCACCCCAACACCCGCATGACTTGGTCAAACAACTTCCTGAACGGCAAGACCACCCATTCCGCAGGCTGTGATGACCACCACTACTGGACATTGGAGCTAGTTGGCAAAGGAGACGAGATCACCTTCCAGAGTACGTGTCCCACGAAAATTTAGACGAAGCCACTATTCGACTAACACGCCTTTACTCACAGACAACTACGTTTACCACACCACCGGCCGTGGCCCTGCCCTCTCCGGCACAACCCTCTTCCACGCAGTCAACAGTGTCTGGTCCTCCATCCCTGGACACGCCATCGAGGGCGGTGAAAAGGGCCGTGGTATCTTTGAGGGATGCTTCTTCGAAGATGTTGTCGAGGTGGCCCCCGCCAAGCCCGAGAACCAGCTCTTCAGCGCCAGCGAAACCAACGCCGCGTCCTGCAAGTCCGCCTTGGGCCGCGCTTGCCAGCCGAATGGCTACAGCAAGTCTGGTGCTTTTAGCAGCTCCGAAACTGGTTTTTTCAGTGACTTTGCTGGACTGACTATTGCACCGGCTGGCTCTGCGACGGATGCTCGCGGTTATGTTCCTAAGAATTGTGGAATTGGGCACATTTAATCCTGTGATGGATAGGAGGGATTCTTTCCAATATGTGTCGAGGTGGTAGCTCACCTGGTTTGAAATTGGCTGATATGCCTGATATATTTGAATTTCTTGCGCACCAAAGCCTTTTTTTCCTGTTTCCATTATGCTTCGTCAAACATACTACACCCTCATCTATAGATAGTATTTTATTTATATAACACAGCACACAAGACCACCTAACAAATTGAGACTCAATCTCATCTCCCGTGAAGCAGCTAAAACAGGTCACATCTTACAGGGCAGATCTTCTCCCTTTCTGGTCGAATTACCCATCAGTAGCGGAAAACACACCATGAACATTAAAAACCCTCATTTTGAG